TACATTCTGCTATCACTATAGCTGGACCCCTTCACTACAATAGTACTAAACGGCCAATTTTGCAATAATTGGAACAAGTCCAAGTTTGTCACGCTGCCATGGCTACTGTCTTTTTTTGCCAACAGCCATGAATATTTTCTGTTTCTCAAAGGGTCTGAACTGTACACACAAATTTTAAAGCTGCTGTGATGACATTTGTGACTGGCAGAACACTAAAATGCACTTTTACTTTGCCATGGCACAGTAGTGAATTCACACCAGTAGCATATGATAATGTTTAGAATTGAATGTTTATCTTTCATTTTCATTTTTGCAAAGTTTGGACAATTTACAGTCATGTGACCCTCGTTGTCGTGTTTGATGTCAAAATGGGCAGATTCAAAAAAAATCCCACACCCACACCATAAACACATTTCAACAACTGTTAAAAAGTTTTGCCACTCTGCCTACATGTGGAGGAACATTCTGACTGTTGTTTGTGCTTATGCGCCTAACAGCAGTTCAGATTACCCACTCATTTTGGAGTGGATGAGATTTGCCCAGAGTTCCTTAAGGCTCTGGAAGTTGTGGGCTTTTGTTGGTTGACGCAACTCTACAATACTGCGTGGACATCGGGACCAGTTCCCCTTGTTTTCACAGACCAGGGTGTTGGTCCTCCTATTTAAAAAGGGGAAGCGCAGAGTGTGTTCCAACTATGGGGGATCACATTTCTAAGCCTCCTTGGTGAGGTCTATTCAGGGGTCCTGGAGAGGAGGGTGTGTCTGATAGTTGAATCTCGGATTCAGGTAGAACAGTGTGGTTTTCGTCCTGGTCGTGGAACACGGGACCAGCTTTACACCCTGAGTAGGGTCCTGAAGGGTTTATAGGATGTCATTCAACCAGTCTACATGTGTTTTGTGAACTTGAAGAAAGTGTTCAGCCATGTCCCTTGTGGAGTCCTGTGGGGGTACTCTGGGAGTATGGAGTACAAGGCCCGTTGATACAGAATGTTAGATCCCTGTACGACCGGTGACAGAGCTTGGTCCACATTGCCAATAGTAAGTCGGGCTTGTTTCCAGTGAGAGTTGGACTTCGTCAAGGTTTCCCTTTGTCATCAATTCCGTTCAGAACTTTTCGGCACAGAATTTGTAGGTGCAGCCAAGGTGTTAAGACAGTGGTGGCTGGTGGATTTTTCTCAGGGCGGGGGTTACAACTCCTACTTACTATTGTAAGTAAGTAAGTAAGTAAGTAAGTAAGTAAAAGTAAGTATGTAAAAGTAAGTAAGTAAGTATGTAAAAGTAAGTAAGTAAGTAAGTAAGTAAAAGTAAGTAAGTAAGGAAGTAAGGAAGTAAGTAAGTAAGTAAGTAAGTAAGTAAGTAAGTAAGTAAAGTTTTATTTATATAGCACCATTCAATGGAAATAGATTTATAAGGTGCTGTACAATCAGAGGGAAGTCAAAAGACATACAATCATAACAGGAAATACAAAAATTTGGAACAAAATGTAGAAAAGTATAAAAGCTGTACAACCAGCAAAGTCTCAAGACTGTGCAATCCGAAAAATAAAACAAGTAAATAATACTGTATCTAGACAAAAATGGGGAGGGCAGAGTAAAACATTAACACATTAAGATGGATTTTTTTTAATCAGAAATTAATTTGGAGGCAGGTCTCCGAATGGTTAGATTTGTACATTTTAGAAAAATACATTTTTGATAAATTGAAATGATTTTTCATGAAAATACTGCCTGTTTGACATATAGTATTAATATGATGAATTGTACGGTCGGTAGGTAGGGTTTGGTGAAACAGACACTAAAAGGTCAGGCTGCAGAAAAATGCTGAAATTGGTTAGTTAAAAGCTTGTTTAAAGAGGTGTGTTTTCAGATATTTCTTGAATGAATCAATGCTTTCAAACGTGCGCAGATGGATAGGAAGTTCATTCCAGAGCCTGGGGGCCATGGAGGAGAAGACTCTGTCACCACGGGTCTTGAGATGTGTGTGGGAAACCATTAGGAGATGTTGATCCTGTGAGCGTATCAGTGTTTGGGGTTGTAAGAGGAGATGAGACTTTTTAATGTAGTCGGGCGACTGGCCATTGAGAGCTCTGAAAGTGAGGACCAGGATTTTGAACTTGATTCGAAAATGAACAGGGAGCCAGTGAAGTTCGGAAAGGATCGGGGAGATGTGTGAGAATTTTGAAGTTCGGGTTAATAGTCTTGCTGCAGAGTTTTGTACGAGCTGAAGGCGATTTATCTGTTTCTGGTTCAGACTGGTGAACAGGCTATTACAATAATCTATGCGGGTCGAGATGAATGCATGAATTACTAATTCCAGGTCAGAAATGGACAACAGGGGCCGCAGCTTTGAAATATTGCGAATTTGGAAGTATCAGGTGGAGGCCAGATTATTTACGTTTGTCAAGAGACAGTCCTGAGTCAAAATAAACACCTAGGTTGCGCACATGTTTTTGGGCAGTTGAACTTAAAGAGCTGAGATGGTCTTTTATCTCCTGGTGTTTGTTGTCRAGGGCCAGGGACATACAACCCCAAACATTTGTAGCACAACAGTGCATTTATTAAACAAAWGAAAATAATAAAACAGCATTACAATGTCATGTATTGTTTTAGTTTTATTGTGTGTGTGTCCCTGTAAAGTGGAAAGGTTGGTRTTTGTTAACCCGTTAATGAGAAAGTCAAGGGTGTGTGTATGCGAACTTGTATTTGTTCCATTTTTAATCACTTCAGTAGAAAAAAGAAMTTAATATTAGTTTCTTCATTTCTTCATCATCAGTGATTTTTTTTTAAGTAAAGAGAAAATAGAAAAAGAGGGAAAAACAAAGAGAAAAGTAATTAGAAAGATTGAAATAGAGATTAGAAATATATTAAATATACACCAAAGAAAAAAAAATAAACACATGACCACACACCCAACATCTGTCCACTCACCTAAAAATAAATGGATAAATACATGGATGGCATGCATACATATATTCACATACCCATACATATACATAGATATCCCTACACACATACATGCATACATTCATGCATACTGTAGATATATACACATAGACATATATGCACTCTCAGTGACCGGTCAGAACCCCTCGGATCAGAGCACCTGTTTGTGAGCGGTTGTGAACATGCGTGTATAGATTTCTCCAATGGAATATTTAATAGTGACTGTGGAGGACCGAAGACCCAACCCCCAAGACACGAGGCAGACATAGGGAAGACCAGAGCCCAAGGACCCGAGAGGGATCCCGAGCGCAGAGTCCCAAGGGGCACGCGCACGGGAAGATACGCCCACCCACCCCCAGATCAGACCATAGGGGAGAACTGGGAGAGTGCCCCCAGTGACCACACACACAACCCCGCCACACCAGAGCAGATCCAGGAAAGGGCACAGAGGTCCAGGCCCACAGGGCACACACCCCCCCAGGCCAGAGCCCGACAGTGCCAGAGGCCCCGAGCCCCAGCAGGCAGTCACCAGGCCAGGCCGGCACATGCCCCAGTGCCCAGCCCCAGACCCCCAGAACCTCCAGCACACCGGCGGCCAGCCGCACACCCCACCCGGGGGCCGAGTAGCAGTGGGCCCTCAGACAAACCAGCGGGTGGGGGGCAGGGCCCWGGGCCCAGACCCCAGCCTGAMAAATACCCAAACATACACATACACATTCACACCATCCCACCCTCATCCTCACACCCACTCATTCAAAGACATACAAGAAGGATTCCACATTCCACTCATACCCCCGATACACACTCTATACCCCCCAGGTCCAGGACATGCACCCACCCCCTACAGTAGGCAACACACACCCGAACCCAGGGGGTAGACGCAATCATTTTGAGGTGGAGAGGAGCAGACTGCCGAGGCCCGGGCCGCACCAGGCCATCCGGACAGCCCCCTGCTGCAGAGAAGCCACGCCCACAACCACCCCACCACACCACCAACGGCCAAGTGCACCACCACAGCCAACCACCCACCGGAACCTGGCAGCTACCCCGGCCAGTGGGCCACCCATAGGAACCAGGAGCCTCACTTCAGGAGTCCAAGCAGCACCAGGGAGGACGGAGAGCCAGCCCCGCCCCCGGCAACCTTCCAAGCCCCAAGCCCACCCACAGCCCAGGACCGCACCTGGCGGCCTGCCCATCTTCAGGACCCCTTCCCCAAATGGCAGTCGGGGAACGGGAGGGGAGTAAAGACCTTAACACACACACTCCCACCCCCAGATGTACTGTTGGTGCGTGTTGTTCTRTAGAGTAATTAAAAAGGGAAAGAAGAAGAGGCAGAGGCTGGCGTGGTGCCAGTTTCCCCTCCTTCACTACTCTAACCCAAAACCCTAAGTGTCTACATGCAAACCTTGGGGGTGGGCACAGGCACAGGAGGCGAGAGTGGTACCATCCGGCCACCTATAGTCATGAGTGCACACCCCAAGTTCCTATATGTGAATGTCATGAAAATGTTAWGAGTGAATATCTAAGATGTACAATAAAATTTGGGGCCCARGTGGTTATGGCAAACAGAGATGTAATATTGYTGCTCTTATAACACAACTGTGTCCCAAAACACCCTACATGGGTGGAGTTGAAAATGAAGAGGATGGAGGTGTGCAGTGAGGGATGGGGAAATGGTCTGAAAGAGCAAAATGCTCCCACAGGGAGTCAGCTCCCCCGCTGGCCCCAGTAAGTCCCCCYGTTCCCCGAAACCCACCCAGGAAGAGCAGCCCAAATACCTCTCCCTCCAGAAAAAACGCCAAGTCCGTGGAACCCCAGACCAGGGACGGACAGAGCCCCGAAGGCCACCAGAAACCGGGACCAACAGTCCACCCACTCCAGAGCCACCAAGACCCCCAAAATCTGACCTGCAGGCCCACAGCTGGCCCGCCGCCTAGAGAGGCCACCGTTCCCCAGCAAGGATGACCTGGCCGACAGCGCCCACTCAACAGTCGACAGAGCAAGGGGGCACCCAGGGCGGGCCCCCGCTACAGCAAAGGGGCCAACCAGCCGGCCCAGCATGACCCCCAGCCACCACCAAAGGCCACCAACCCAATCCCCACCCCCAGAAAACATACTACACCCACCCAAACATTCAGGCCACTATCAGAACATACAGTATAGCACAAAGACACCCAGGCTGGGTCGACCCCCCACCCCACTGGCCCCATGTCACACCCCAAGCCAACCCTACCCCCCAGCCCATGAGAACCACAGACCACCAGCGCACCGGAGGCTCCCAGACCAGAGCCGGGCACCAGGACACACACCGGCCCAGGGCCCGGCAACCTGCCCGCCAGAGCCCAAGTGCCCCTGCCCCAGCAGAGCCACAGCCCAGGTGCGGCATGCCCCCAGAACCCCAAGCTCCCCGCGCCCACCTCGGACTCGCCCCAGCACAGCCAGGCAACCGGACCAGCGACCCATGACCGCCGCTACAAACTACCCGAGGGCCCACATGCAGCCACCAGAAGACATCCCCCAGAACCACCAAGGCCCTCCCCAAAGCGAGAGCAGTGTCACCCCCACCCCGGAACCCCCAGCGGCCAGCCCCCAAGAAACCCCCACCAGCCCCAATGCCCCACGAGGTCCGATCCCAAACCCCCCACCCTCACTATGTGATGAAACTAATCAAAGGAGCCCAAACMGACTKATCTGATGTGGCAGCAGAGGCTGTTTCAAGACTATAATGATCTAACAGAAGATTTCTATACTGATTAATGCTAAGATCATTTTTATTTTTCCAATTTAAGAGTATCATTTTCTTTGTGATGCATAAGGCAGTGGAAATCATATAAGTGTTTTTCTCTATAGTGACATCACCTAAGATAGCCAATAAGCAAACAGACGGAGAGGGTGGAATATAACAATTCAAACACTTCGACAAATCTTCACATACCCGGACCCAAAACCTCTGGACAGGTGGACAGAGCACATTGCCTGTACAATGGGAGCAGTTATTAGATGAAGTAAATCCCATCTTGAACATTCGCTGGCCTGTATAATGTGCTCTATAGAGGACTTTATATTGTATTAATTGTAGATAGGAGTTTCTGGTTATTTTAAATGTTTCCAAGCATATTTTAGGCCAGGTGTTTTGGTCAAAGTTGACTGATAAGTCCGTTTCTCATTTAGCAACAGGTAGTGATATTGAGTCGTCTATTCTAGACAGTTTATTGTAGATTTTAGATAGCAATTTGGGTGATTTAAGATGAAGGAATTCCATTACACTTGCTGGTGTCTCTAATAATGTTTTATTAAGCTTAAATTTACGTTTAATTATAGATTTAATTTGTTGATTTTCTAAGAAGTATTTCCTGTCTATGCCATATTGCATTATTAATTTATTTCATGGAATAAAGTCTACACCTTCAAATATATGTTCCAGCTCTTCGATTCCTTTACCTCTCCAACCTGCAAAGTTTAACATGTTTTGTTGCAGGATGTCAGGATTGTTCCAGATGGGTGTTTGTCTACATGGGAGTAGTGATGACTTTGCCATTTTCAGAAGCTCCTACTATGCTGCCAGAGTTGAGCTGATATTAATTACTTGTATTTGTTCCATTGTGTGGACTAATTTTGACAGTTTTTCCGGAAAACACGGCCATCTGAGGATCCACTACTCAATTTGCAGACCAAAGTTTGGTCCGCATATGGAGATTCCAACAAAACACAAATGTAGCCTATTCAAATTGCTTGTGCCTGCAACCAAATAATGGCACTCAAAATGTAAAATTCACAACAGGTGTGATTTATATTTTCCTTCTCAAACCCATCATTTTTGTGTCAAAAGAAAGCACTGAACGCTTTGTTCTATTCCACTGAATTGTGTTCAACGTACAGTGGTTTTAGGTAAAATAATTTAAGTATTCAGTTTGAGTATTCAGTTCAATTCAACTCAATTCAATTCAGTTTATTTATATAGTGCCAAGTCACGACATACGTTGTCTCAGGGCACTGTACATGAAAAATTAACAATCTAAAGAAGAAGCCAGCAGGCTGCGTTGAATCACTTCATCACAGTCTCCCATCCTGAGCAAACGGTGGAGAGGAAAAACTCCCTCTAATCAGGAAGAAACCTCCAGCAGAACCAGGCTCAGGACAGGCGGCCCTCTGCCTGACCTAACATAATTGGTCGAAGCAATCGACCAACGGGGTTAGAGAATCAGAAATGATTCAAAGATGTTATGCTGATGAAGGCTGACATCTAGTGGTCATCTGGAGCAACCACATGGAAAACTTTAAAATCCAATCTCTTATTTTGAAGGGACGATAGTTTCCCATACTCCATGCTTTCGTTTTCTGTCACAAATCATATCCGTCATGTACCCAGAATGCATCGCTTCAGTTTTCCAATAAACAGTTTTTAAATAACTTTATTG